CGGCCGTCGCTCTGCAGCGAGAGCATCATCCCGGCCTCCGATCAAAACCCTGGCGAACGAGAATTTTCCAGCGATCTAGCACCGAGCAAGAAAAGAGGGGGGAGAGAAATATAATTCGCCGGTGGTTTCGTCTCGATTGAGGTAAATATATATTTTCTAGTTTCTTTTTCTCCCCCTCAGTTCGGTCTCGATTCTTCCCGTCGCTCGCACAAAAAAATGAAGTCCGGCCCAGCTGTTTGGGCCCACCTGCAAGTGATAAGGTGAGAAAGTGGGTGACGATCACGCAGTGAATGTATTATATTAGGTCGGGGACAAAAGAAAGGAGGCGACCGAAAAAGGTACCGTGGTATTGATTTGGAGCGATCGGGACCGTTGATCGGGGGGCGGTAGATACGCGACAGCTATCGTGTCGAAAGGGGTTAGAGGAACGTGTCCACTGTTTAGTTGAGATGGGGCTGCGGTGTTAGGGCTGGATTTTAACGCGTGAAAGGAAAACAGCGAACAGCGTTTCACAACGGCCTTTTTGGCACGTTCGTCTGAAGAAGTACTGTACTGGATCATTTTTGGAGCAGCTAATAATAAAATTAGCTGACAGCTTTGGCACTGTAGGCGAATCGTTTCTGGAGTACCGATGGCGGCCGGGGTAATTAAGTTCCTTAATTTCCGGCCTCAGTGGCGAGGTCCACCGTCCACGTCCCGCAGCGGGACAAATGTGTCCTGTTTCATTTTTTATTTTAATTTTTTTGAATTTTGTAAATGGTTTTTAGTTTTGTAAATAGTTTTTGAGCATGGTTTAACACTTAAAAATTATATGTAATTAACTAACAATGCAACCCTTATAGAAATAAAAAAATAATTTTATTAAGTAAAATTGTGTATTTGTATAGAATGACAGAGAGCATTATCGCAAACACGGAGATTTTACTTGGTTCGGAACAAGTCCTACTCCACGGATGGCAACTAATTGTTCCACTATCTTAAAAATATAGGAATAAGCTACAACCAACTTTAATTAACCAAATAAAAATAGAGAACATATGTCAACTTGTAATAGAGTTCAATCTTCTTTATTCTCTCCGTCTTCCTCTTCAAGAAAAGCCGCACGTCCTCAAAAGACACCTTTAGGTAGCGAGGCCATTGCAGACATCATCTAGAACCTAGTTGTCCAGCGGTGATTCAATGTTTATATTATGTATAGGCAAAGGTCCAAGGGATGAATTGATGAAATCATGAAGGGCAAAAAATTATATGCGAGCCAATGAGCCGAATTCAGAAGGCCAGCTTGTTTACATTTAGGTCCAGCTCGCTCGCTGAGCTCGGTGGGCTGAGCGAGCTACCAACCCGCTTGTTACTAGAGGCCAGCCTAACAATGTCCCGCGGTCCATTGCCGAGTGAGCACGCTCGTGGGCTGACCTGGCCCAGTGCTCACCCCTAATTTCTTGTTTCCCCCCGCCAGTTTGGTAATTATTCTCAAAGTTAGGGACAATTTTTAGCCCGGGTTAATTTTCTCAGTCTTTCTTATCTTACAATGTATGTTACTCGATTTTGATCTCAAAGATGCTTCGTCACCAAGGACCTATCCACCCCCACCCACCCCTCACTTGATAATCGATAATGTCACTTCTCTTCCATCTCTTAGTATTAAGCTCGCTCGTTGTTGTGGTGTCATTTACTAACGTATATCTGTCGTTAAATTAATAATATGATTTTTATATGTAACTATTTATAAAAACTTTAGTAATTATTTACTGAGTGATTTTTTGAACTAATTAACAAAATAATATAGCAATTAGTAAGTTTTATCAATTTTCTATAATAGAGCCAGAAAGATTTTATATTTGTAAACTGTCTGATAAATATTAAATTCATCATTTGCAAGAACAAAAAGAAAATATATGAACATTGTTTGTAAGGTTCAAAAAAATATTATTTTAGTCTAAATAGTGGATAATGGGCCAAAAATTGCAATATAGTTGTTGTATCACATAAATTGCATAGTGTAAACTACTCTTAAGAGGATGACACATGTCCCACTTAGCCGACTCAAACTTGATACACCGACCCGACCGAGGTCTCACGCGTGCAAGCTCTCCCTCGTTGAAGCACTTTGATAACCGAGCTGAAAGACGCCATCACCCAGACCTTCTCAAGGAATCTAAGACGAAATGCATCCTCACCTAGACATTCTCAAGGAATCTAAGACGAAAGGCATCCTCACCCGGATTTTCTTAAAAGTCCCAAAGGAAAGGCGTCTTCACTCGAACCCAACGACATATCTTGAACCATGAGGAAACCAATCGGCTTCATCTTCTTAGGTGACGTTAGCCAATCACCATCAGATTAACTAATAGCGAGAACCATCATTACTCCTCCACCGAAGTCATTATGACTTCTTAGACCATGCCAACATTTGAACCATCTGCCGTTGTCACATTAAGCGCAAGGATGATTTGGAGCGCTCACTGCTAACACATGCAAAGTGTCGGCTGACCAAGCCGACTGCATGGCCTGGCCGAAATTACCCAAATATCATTGTCGGTTCACTATAAATAGGCAAATTTTCTTCTGCATGAGGGTATGCTATGTCTACAATAAAAAAAATCTTAAAAACTACTTTGTTCTCATACTTTTTCCCTTTAAGATCATTACTGACTTGATTGTCGGAAGAACCACAGAAGAACCCAACTCCAACTCTCTAACCTTTCATATTTGTGCAGGAATCTTTTCTTGCTTAAAGTGATCAGTCATCAAAAAGGATTGAGGGACCCTCAGCTCCTCCAAATCCACCTTAACCCTCATAATTAAGTTTCTACCATTAACAACAATATGCAGAACATGTTAAGATTCAAAAATTATACTATACGATTTGCTTCAACCGGAATCGTTGCCCGACCAGTAGTCGAGGATGGTGAGGAAGGATGGAAGAAAGAAGAAGGGTAGTTATATTTATATAGTATAGTATAGTTATAAGTAGAGTAGTACATAGTCTCGTATAAAGTCGGAAGAAGGAAATTCTGTAAGCTAGGCGGCTCTATCGGGTAAGGCGCTTGATGAGAGAACACCAACTCCAAGTAAAAAAGTAAGAAAATTGTTCTTTGCGGTAGGGATAGTAAGTAAGCGAGGACATAAACAATGTTTATGGGAGGGGAAAAACATTACAAAGCGAACAATAGGGCTTAGGCTGAAAATTTTACTATAGGATGAACAACAATTTTAATATTTTGAATTATGTCGCAATAAGAATAGTAATTTGAGGTTTTGCTTTTAAGTTAGAAGTAGTAGGATATGATGTTTTTGGAATCTTTGAAAACTCAATTCCTATGTGCCTGGTAGATTCAATTGTTAATCCCACGTTCCACTCATTTCTTCCTTGGATTTGTCTACACGTGGGTTCATGGGTAAAAGGATGTGGTTGGTGCTCATTAGGGTCCTAATGAAAATTTTCGCAATTTATGCAATTATTTGGGTTAATTACTAGTTCAGTTATGCTTTCTTTGTCTAGTTCTTCAATCTTGATTTCATCGTCCGAGAGCTCGTAGTGGTTGATAGTTTCAGTCGCCGCGGAATAAGCCCAATAGTCAGTAGTACGCTGCATCTTTTTATTTTTATTTTTTATGCATTGTTTCTTTGATCTGTACAACTTTTGATCTCACCTATTTTGTGTTGGGGTCCTCAAAAGACCTATCTTTTGCTTCGTCTATCATCCAGCTGACGAACTCCGGTGAATACTGACATCATTCTCATGGTTTGTTATCGGCGAATCGGGCGAAAATTGAGAAGTAGGTGTTGAGGATAAGTGGGCAGAAATTGAAAAGGAAATGATGATTTTTCCTTTCCCACATCACCATTTTCAGAAAAAATAAAAAATAAATTATTTTCGGATAGAGTTCGGAAGCAAAGCCCATAAAATTATCATATTTTATAGGCTTAATTGCATTTAAGTACCCAGTAGTTTCTCCTACTTTGCACTTATATAACATCACTTATTTTGGTCGCACATAGACCCTCACTTATTTTTTGTTGCACTTATATACCCTATAGTTAGTTTTAAAATTTGCATTCTAATATCCTCAGTTATGCAAATGTGAGAATTTCCCTGCAAAATTGTCAAGCTACTCACATGATAATTTTAGAACATTTTAATTCTTAACAATTATTAAATTTGCTTTTAAACCTATCAAAATCCTATTAAATCACGTTAGGTTAAAATAGAATAATGATATTGTTAACAATATATTTAATAAAAATTAAGGGTTAAGACGTTCTAGAATAGCATATGAGGGTTGCATGAGAGTAGTCGGGAAAAATTTCTCACGTTTGTATAACTAAGGATACCAAAGTACAAATTTAAAAACTTTAGGGTATATAAGTATAACAAAAACAAGTAAGGGTATATAAGTGCATTGTAGGAAAACCTACATGGTATTTAAGTGCAATTAGGCCTATTTTTTATACAATAATATGAAAAGGTTATTTTTAAAAAAAAGTGTTTTTAGATATTAGTCCCTCAAATCATAGGTACTTTGGTTCTCTCAAGTCTTCATATTTTGATATTAGCCATCCAAATCACCTAAATGTATTGATATTAGTCCTTTCTTGAGCATAACTATCAAAAATCCTAAATCATGATTGGATTTAGACTAACGATGGATGGGTAATTATATTATTATCCATCCCTCGCCTTCATCTCCTCTACAATCGTATTGTTGTCTATTGGCATTCTCACCTCTTGCTCCATCGCTGCCATCAACATCTTCACCATCACTATCTCTACCTCCACATGTATTCCAATTGCCTACTTCATCTCGATCACAACCATCTCCGTCTTTATCTTTGTCATCTCTACCATTGCTGGCATTCTCACCTATGCCTAACTCGCATCTGCCACATGTTTAGGATTGTGTAGACGTTAGAACAGACCTAGTGGAGGAGGGCGAGGGCTGAGAGGGAGCAACAACAGTGGTTAAGGGCATA